GGGGGAACTTGTGGCTCTGCACAAGTCCCTGACAGGAGGGGACAGCCGGGGGGGTCGGGCTGTGCTCCAGGGAACAGGGACAGGAGGAGAGGGAACAAGCTCAAGTTGCAGTAGGCAAGGATTAGATTGAATATTAGGGAATATTTCTTCACTGAAAGGGCTGTCCAGCCCTGGCACAGGGAGGTTTGGAGTCCTCATCCCTGGAAATGTTCAAAAACCATGTGGCTAGCACACCTGGGGACAGGGTTTAATGGTGAACACGGTGGACTGTTGGACTTGATTTTTTCCAGCCCTAAGGATGGAACACGATTCTGTGAGAATCACAGCTGGGAGCTGGAGGAGAGCCAAAGCTTCACCTGCCCAGGTGTTATGTCCAGCACAAACAGTTTCAAACTGGTGTTTAGAGGGAATGTCCCAAACTCTGGGGCTTCCAGCCAGAGGCTCTGCATGCTGGTGGTGTTTTGGCCTGGTTTCTGCCATGAAATCTTTGGCCCTTGGAGCTCTGCATAAAGATTTATCAGGTGTGACAACATTCAGGTGCTTTTTTGTCTTCTCTTGCCAGCCAGGACAGAACTGGTTGTATTGGGGTTTCCCCAAATGCTGACTGCTGGTTTAGAGCCACATTTACACAGGCCCTTAGTGGGATTTTCCTCTGTATAAAGTAAGATTATGTGCATTCAGGCTACTGCTTTTAAACGATGGTGGCATTTAAACTGCTTTGATCCTTTGGAAAACCTGCTGGCATGGAGATGCCTGGAGGTGCAGATGGATTCCAGTTGGAAATTGGGCATGTGGGACTATATGAAAATAAGCCTCCTGCTGATTATTATGAAGCTGTTTACATGCTCTGGGGGGACCTCCAGCTCTCACACAGAGCCTGGGGGAATCCCAGCAGAGTCACTTGTGGGTGCAGAGCTGCCCTTAGGTGGCTTCAGGAGATGGAGCTACCCTGGCAAGCAGAGTTTGAACCGATTTTGTACAGAAACCTGGTCCCAGGAGGGGCAGATTTGGGGCTCTAAGCTGGAAGGAAGCCCCTGGCCTGCTGCACACCAGGGTGGATGGTTTCAATTCTCACTGGACCTGGTAGCCTGTTAAATGTATCTGTACATATACAGGAGTAGCATTTACACATATATATGTATATATACACACAAAAATTAATCTGTTCCAAGTGCTCCCAACCTGTGTTGTTGACCACTGGGCTGGGCAGATTTTCCCTGACAGTCTGGGCATTCCCTCCTCCATCCATGGGTGCCATGAAATCTGCTGTCCATGAGTGTTTCTGCTTGCACTACCTGCAGAATGGTAACAGCAATATTGACCCCGTGCTTCTCTTGCACTTTACATAAATTGGGAATTGCAATTGGAATTTAAAAAACATGGCACTGCCCCTCCAGTTCATACCAAGAATAATGAGGGAAGCAAGATATGAGCATCCAGCACAACTTCACAATTTCACTGGAGCTCAGTGAATCTCATACATTGCATTTGGAAATTGCATTTGGCTGAAATACACAACTTCTTCCATCTCAAACAGCTTCTGAATGTCAGCTTGAATTTGCTGAGGGTTTTCAATTGGGAGAAAAAAAGAAGGAAAAAAGACATTTGATGACTTAATGTATGTAGGGCCATGGGGGATACCTGTCAGTCACCTCATCCAGAGCTGTGTCACAGCACGGAGCCCTGGGCAGCACATCAAGGCAGGGACTGTGGGCAGAGCTGGCCTGGGGAATTCAGAGCACGAGTGCTAAAGCTCTCCTCACAGACTAGATTGCTTTTATGGAAATAATTTCACAGAAATTGTTAAATTATAAAATTATAAAAAAATCGGTCAGAGTCTGTGCATAGATTATAAAATACTGGAGTTGTAATAAAACAGGGCCATGTTTCTTACAGTCTTAAATTAAAAATAATTAGATTAATTTAGGAGAATAGTGAAGGGAACTGAATAAAGAAATGAGGCTCGTGTTTCAGAGCCAGGACAGTGAGAGTTCCACAGCTGGGATCCTCTGGAGCCCCCCTCACCTCGTGGGGAACACGTGGGGGTGTCAGCATTTGCTTAAAGAGAACAGAAGGGAGGCAGCCAGAGTTCACTCCAGGACTCTCAGGTGAGCAGACCTGAGAAACACCAGCAAGTTCATTGTAAGAGTGGGAAAATCTCACACTTCTGTAGTGGTGGTGTGGATAAAAGGAATAGAGATTGTTTTCCAGGCAGGTTTGTGCCATTCCAGCCAGGTGTGAATGTGCTGTAATGCTCAGCAGGGCTCCTCACCTGTGCAGGAATCCCAGAAGCCTTGACAAGAGAGGGGGGTCAGAGCCTTGGGGCCAGAGCCTCCCCTGCCTGGGGAGGGGGGTCAGAGCCTTGAATTTTGCTCTCAGGTTTTGCTTGTCAATGTAATGTCCTTTTCCCCTTGTGCTCCCTGCAAGGACACCCAGGCCTTCACTTAGACATTGTTCTGTCCAGCAGGACTTGGCAGGTGTAAAAAAAAAAAAAAGGGCACATTTTGAATTGCCACCAAACTTGGAGGTTTTTTTTTTCATCAGCACCATCCTCTGGACAGGTCTCAGCAGAGAAGGGCATCGATTGCTGCCACATCTCCGAGACTGACACTCCTCGTCCCGCTCAGAACACAATTTCTCAGTGAATAAAATACCTATTGAAAAGCAGTGGGCAGAGGAATCGGGAAATGCTGTTATTAATGGCAGGTTTTGTGTGCTCCTCTCCAGCTGCCGCATCAGCCGCATCCTGGAGGCGCCGCGGGGCCACGCGCTGCTGGTGGGAGTGGGAGGCAGTGGCAAACAGAGCCTGACCCGCCTGGCAGCTTTCCTCAGCAACCTCGAGGTCTTCCAGATCACCCTGAGGAAAGGCTATGGCATCCCTGACCTCAAGGTGAGGGATTTGGAGGGCTGAGGTGGAGGGGAAGGAGATAAAGAGCAGAATTTGTCCTCAAGGGTTGTTGTGTGTTGAGAAACAGAACGGAGGAGGATGGCCCTGAGCCAGGTGTGCCCAGGTGGGCAAGAGGCCAGTGGCACCTGGGCTGTGGCAGCAGGGCCAGGGCAGTGCCCATCCCCTGTGCTGGCACTGCTGGGACACCTCCAGTGCTGGAGACAGCTCTGGGACACTCAGGACAGGAGGGACATGGAGGGGCTGGAGCGTGTCCAGGGCAGGGAATGGAGCTGGGAAGGGTCTGGAGCAGCTGAGGGAGCTGGGAAGGGGCTCAGCCTGGAGAAAAGGAGGCTCAGGGGGAACTTGTGGCTCTGCACAAGTCCCTGACAGGAGGGGACAGCCGGGGGGGTCGGGCTGTGCTCCAGGGAACAGGGACAGGACGAGAGGGAATGGCAGTTTAGGTTGAATATTAGGGAATATTTCTTCACTGAAAGGGCTTCCCAGCCTGGCACATCTGCCCAGGGAGGTGAAGTAGCCACCCCTGGAGGGATTTAAAAGCCATGTGGATGTGGCACCTGGGGACATGGTTTAGTGGTGGCCCTGGCCACTCTGGGGGAGCAGCTGGATATGATGTCTTTAGAGGGCTCTTCTAACCGAAATGATTCTGTGATCCTGAGATACTGAAACACCTCAGACATGACATGGTGCTGTGGAGAGGATTAAATGCCTTGCTGGAGTGTGTCTGCACAGGGCTGCAGCCAGAGCTGGCAGCTCCTGGCAGTGCTCTGAGCTGGCCAGGCCTGAAAACATCCCAGCCCAGCCCTGAGTGCCAGCCCTCGGCTGTGCTGATGTTCTCAGCAGCTGGGAAGGTTCTGAATGATCCCATTTCTATGTCTGGCCCGTGCTCTGCAGCATGCAGGGTAAGCCCTCCTGATTTCCTGTCTCAATACAAACAGATGGGACTCAGTTTCTTCTTCCAGAAAAGCCAGTCTTTAATGTTACAGCCCATTTTTAAACAGTTTTCAAGACCTCGTGTATAACTCTAACTGGTTTATAACTTTCTTGCCACTCAATTCATTGGTTAGAAAATGGCATTTTACATGTCCATCAAATCTCTCTGTTTCTAGATTGTTTACATATTTTCTTCACTGATTCTCATGGGACAGATTTCTTGTTTTTATAGGTGTGAATGGTTCTGTTACCAGAATAGATTGTTGTGCTAGCTGACTTTTATTCTTATGATTTTTTCACATGAGAAGTTACAAGCTAACTGTTATCTTAGCTAGAGTAGGAGAGCCTAAATCATATTTTATAAGGCCTTTCTTTTATAATATCTCTACTTGCATGCAACAATTTCCCACTGCAGGCAGACCTGGCCAGCCTGTACCTGAAGGCTGGGCTGAAGAGTGTGGGCTCTGTGTTCCTGCTGAGTGATGCACAGCTGGCTGATGAGCAGTTCCTGGTGCTGGTCAACGACTTCCTGGCATCAGGTACAGCCCTCGTGCTCTGCTTTCCCTCTCCCCCAGTGCAGTTTTGCTCCTGGTAGCACCTGGAATTCTGGAATAGACAAAAGGCAATGATGAAATGAGCTGGAAGTTACACAGGTTGAGCTCTGGAGTAAAAGCTGTGCTGAGGCCTGCCTGGGGAGGGACACTCCATCAGCTGGGTGATTTCTTGTCTTTTCCTATTGTCTTGTACCCATTTTTCCATATGCCATGGGATTCTGCACATAGTTGTTAAGGGATGTGTCTGTTGGGGTATTGCAGCTGGGGACAGAGCCAAACGAATGGATCACCAGGTGAGGAGTCTTACCTGTGGATCTCATGCACCCACCTCAGAAATGAAGTTTGTTTCTGGATACAAGATTTGACTGGAGTATCTGAGCTGGAGCATGAAGAAATGCCATGGGGTGACCATATCAGTGTGTGTCACCTGGCTGCTTATCTGATTCCAGCCTTTTCCCTGTTGTTTTTCCAGATGCATTTAGGTTTTTGAGGTACAGTCATGTCCCCAGCAGTGCTCTGTTTCCCTGCAGAACAGGGAACAGGTGTGTGTAGATGAGCATCCCTGTGCCAGGTGTGCTGCAGTTCCTGGGCACTGGGGGGTGCAGGCTGTGTCACCAGGACCATGAGAGGACACCTGGAGTGAGCACATCCCCATTTTCCAGGCAGATCCCTGCCACTGTGTACTAGTTTGAAAGCAAAACGGTGAGAGACTCCAAGTCAGAAGTACACTTTAATAGGAAAGAAAGAGAAAAAATAGTACAAAAGAAAAGCACTGCCAGAGTCAGAATACAACCTGACACTGCTAGTCAGGGTGGTGGCAGCAGTCCAGATGAAGTGATCTTGTTGAAGCAGTGATCCTGTAGAAAGGTCTGGTAGCTCTTGTCCCCTGGAAACCAGTGGGTAAGGGCTGCCTTGGTGTTCCAGATCTCAGATTTTATCTGGGTAGGAAATGCTTGGCTCCTCCCCCTGGCTGGAGCATCTCCCATGGGATGATGGAATTTGATCAGCCCTGCCCTGGGACTGCATGGCCATGAACAGGAGAGATCTCCTGGAGGGAGGATGGGCTGTGGGGAAGATAAAGAACACTGCAACAGCTGGGTTAACACATGGCCCATTAACAGAGGATATCTCCCCCAGAGATCAGGATCACTGCCCAACATGGGTTAACAGCTGGTGATAGAATCCATCCTTTTGGGCACATCTTTACATTGTAACCCAGGCCACACTGCCTGCCTGCCACTTTTTGCCTTGTTTGTGAGTTGAGTGGGGAAGGCACCAGCTGGGTCAAGTTCCTCTAGGGATGGGAAGAGGTGAGGAATGAGCAGCACAACTCTTTGTGAGTAGCTCCAGAGGTGACGTGTGGCTATAAATTGGTGGCTAGATGGCTTCAGCAGAAAGAAGCTCTGAAGCTCTTCCATCTGAATCAGCTGTGATGGTTTTGTAATCAGGAGCAAGGACAGAGATTGTTGTAGATTGTGGAGAGGAGCTCCCACCAACTCCTACACCTGGTGTAGATGCACAAACATCTGATGATTGAAGGTGAATCTCAGGAGAGAGCTGAGATTCTTCAGCCTGGAGAAGAGAAGCTCTGGGGAGACCTTAGAGACTCTTCCAGTGCCTAAAGGAGCTCCAAGAGAGCTGCAGAGGGACTGGGGATGAGGAAGCAAGAACAGGACGAGACAATCCTTCTCTGTGAGGGTGGGCAGGCCCTGGCACAGGGTGCCCAGAGCAGCTGTGGCTGCCCCTGGATCCCTGGCAGTGCCCAAGGCCAGGTTGGACATTGGGGCTGGAGCAGCCTGGGACAGTGGGAGGTGTTTTTCTCAGTTGTTACACTTGTCACCATCTAGAACAAAAGATACTTTTAATCCTTTTAATGAATGAGCAGATTTCTGATTAGTGTATTTCCCTAAGTGATTAGTGCTTGTATTGAAAGTATCTGGCTCAACAATGATGATTTTAATCAAATCAGAAGCCAGAAAGGAAGTGAGTATGTGATAAATCGAGGAAACACTAAAAACAATATTTGGTTGGGTGCATTTTTGGCAATCAGCTGCTTAACTATTAACTTTTAAAAGCTTTTACAGGATTTCGAACTTCTAATGGTCTGGGAGTTATTTGGCCACTGCTGGAAATGGCCCTGAATAGTTGCAAAAATTTTACATGTAATTAATGCATTTCCAAAACTACAACAATTTCAAAGTATATATGGGGTATTAGGGATTTGAATATTTCTTTTGTAATCTAATTAGACTGGAGAAAAAGATAGGATTTTCTCTACTTTGACTCTATTCTATGTCCCCTTCCCTTGTGTTTTATAAGGAAGTTTGCTCTCACAGGTGTTTATTTTGTAGCAGGATGACTTTCTGTGCCCCTTTGCTGTTTCTGGAGCCCAGGGGCACCTGGTGCAGGGGTTTTACCTGAGGAGGGGACTTCCCTGAGCCCCTGAAGTGGGAGGCAGCAGCTTCCCTTTGCTCTGAGACTACAGCAACATCCAGAGCTGTAAACCCCAAGGTGCCCTCTCCTCCTAGGGGAAATCCCAGATCTCTTCCCTGATGATGAAGTGGAAAACATCACCAGCAGTGTGAGGGGTGAGGTCAGAGCCCGGGGGCTGGTGGATTCCAGGGAGAATTGCTGGAGGTTTTTCATCGAGCGAGTTCGACGGCTGCTGAAGGTGAGATGGAGCACGAGAGGTTGGTGCTGAATGATTTTTTTGCCTTTTTCATTTTATATATTCTCTGTGTTCTTTACACACATATTCGTGGCCTATTATTGTATTAGTAGCTAGTTCCAGTACTTTTCCATACCTTTTTCCTAGCCAGAAAGACAAAATTCCAGAGCTCCAAGCCCCACGGGGTACAAGGCCTTTATCCTATCTTGGTTCTTTCTGGGAACCAAGGCCAAAAAACCAGTTCTTTAAGACATATTTTCATAAACACAGTTTAGCTTCCAGCTGTGAGGAGAGGATTTACAGAGGGTTGAACTGGGGGAAATTACCTCACCTCTTATGTCTCTAATTGGTAATTTTTGTCAAATATGCTAATTTGCTAATTTATCAAACTCTCTTCCAACCCAATGATTCTGTCTGTGTGTGCTATCAAAAAGCAGTTAAAAGGGATTACAAATTGTACTATATTGAAAACATTGTAATCAATAATAACTTGTAACAGTTAATATATAAATGTGAAAGCCAATTATTATATTGAGATTGATAACATCCACACCTTATATTCCCTCAGCTGGTGGGATGGGCTCCATGGGATGGGATGGGCTCCATGGGATGGGATGGGCTCCATGGGATGGGATGGGATCCATGGGTTGGGATGGGATCCATGGGTTGGGATGGGATCCATGGGTTGGGATGAGAACCAAGGGATGGGATGGGATCCATGGGTTGGGATGGGATCCATGGGATGGGATGGGATCCATGGGTTGGGATGAGAACCAAGGGATGGGATGGGATCCATGGGTTGGGATGGGATCCATGGGATGGGATGGGATCCATGGGATGGGATGGGATCCATGGGTTGGGATGGGATCCATGGGTTGGGATGGGATCCATGGGTTGGGATAGGATCCATGGGTTGGGATGGGATCCATAGGTTGGGATGGCATGGGATCCATGGCATGGGATGGCATGGGATCCATGGCATGGGATGGCATGGGATCCATGGCATGGGATGGCATGGAATGGCATGGGATCCATGGCATGGGATAGGATGGGGAGGGGTCAGTGGAACCCAAGGTGGGCTGCAGGGGCAGATGCTGCTCTCCCTGCTCCTCAGTGCCCTGCTGTGCTCTCAGGTCGTGCTGTGCCTGTCCCCCGTGGGCCCCAGGCTGCGGCTCTGCAGCCGCCGTTTCCCAGCCCTGGCGGGCTGCAGCACCATGGACTGCTTCCAGCCATGGCCCCGGCAGGCCCTGGAGTCCGTGAGCCGCCGCTTCCTGCGGGACATGGACACCCTGCAGGTGAGCAGCCAGCACACCTCCTGCTGGGGACCCTGGGGACACGGCTGGCCACGGGCAGGGGTGGCCCCGTATCTCTCACACCATTGCGGGGAGGGTTGGGTGCCCTCCAACACCAGAGGGGCACCACTGCCAGCACTGAAGTGCATAAAATTCAGCTAAACCATCACTGAGGCACATACCACATTTTTGTGGAGAGGGCTATGGAGCTTGGCAACAGAGCCAC